AAGTAATCTATATTTTCAAATATTATTATACTAAATTTTATTTGAATATTCTAAATTGTTAAAAAAATAGATCAGTAGCATATTTATAGTACCAATACAGGCAAATTTGCCTGCATTGGTCTATAATCTAAAAAATATGAAGAATATAGTAGAAATAGCAAATTTTAATAGTGAAAATAGGCATTTCTTTTTATATTTTTTAATTTTTAAATTTATATAATTATTTTATTAAATTTTATATAATTTATAGAAAATTTCTTAAATTACACTATGTGTATATACATATAGATTATATGATATGAAATTATATTATACAGATTGATATATAAATATATGTATTTTTTGTTTATATAGTTTTTTTGTTCTTTTTATTTTACTATGCTACTAATTAATATCTTTTAGTATTAGTTATTAATACTGTCGCTAGTATCATCATTAGTGTTGTTATAGGTGTTATCATTGTATATGTTGTTTTGAAGTTTTGGTCATTTTATTGGTAGTTTCGCTTTTGCTAGTTTGTATCTTTGCTTTTGCTAATATTGTTATTTTATTAGTGGTTTCACTCTTGCTGGTCTGTATCATTATTTTGTGCTTTTGCTTTTTGCTAATACCTGCTGATTTTCACTCTTGCTTGTCTGTATCATTATTTGGTGCTATGCTTTGTAGTGTTTGCTGATTTTTAACTTGCTAATTCGTTTTTGCTTTTGCAGTATTTATTAACTTTCACTCTTCTTGCTGCTTGGTGCTTTTGATTAGTTTTTTTGCTAGTCTGTGCTATCGGTTAGAGTGTTTGCTGATTTTGCTTTTACTGGTCTACTTTTGCTTTTATTACTAAATTCATTCTTGCTTATCTGTACTACTGCTTGATTTTTTTGCTTGTTTTTGCTAATTTTGCTCTTACTGATATGTGTTATTGCTTGATACTTTTGCTTTTGATAATATTTGATAATTTTGCTTTTACTAATTTGTCTTTGCTTTGCTAATATTGGTTTTTTTTTAGTATTAATATTCCTTTTGTCTTGCTATTTTTATTATACATATACTAACGCTCTTTTTTATTTTTAGTAACATTGTGTAGTTTTTTATGTTGATATACTGTTATTGGTATAAATCTTATAAATAGTATGATTTCGTGACTACATTTTTTAGTTGTATTAATAGCTACACACATTTATCTAGTCTTTTCAACATCTTTGAGAATTTGATCTTTGCTGAAAGTTTTGGCTTCACCAAGGATTCTGTTTTTCATCAAAGTTTTGCTTTTCATCAGAGTTTCATCTTTTACCGAGTTTAGTTTTTGCTAGAGCTTCATTTACTGTTAGTTTGGGTATCAGCTTTTCGTTGGTGGTAAATTGTAGTTGATCTGTTATTGTTGTGTTTCAAGCTTTGCTTCACTAGTAGCTTTGTGCTTTATTTTACTGGTAGTTATGCAAAAGCATTTAATTTAAGTAGAATTAGATTTAGCAGTTAGGGTTAGATAACTAATATTATGGTTAGTTGTTTTAAATAGCTGAAATTTTATTATAAAATAGTGCTGTAATGCCTGAAATTTTATTGCGCAATAGTGCTTTAGAATAATATATATAATATTGCTATAATGCAGTATTATGTATTTTCATATGATCACTGAAAAAAATGTTTAAGTTCGTTTACTTTAGGGTTAGCATTTAACTTAATGTTAGAGAAAGAAGATAATATAGTAAAATTATGCAAATAATTTTTTTGTTAGTACACAAAAAGTGGTTTCTTATATGAATTATATGATTTTGACAAAATTTATATTTATTTTAGATTTTCATGATAGTATTACATTACATAATTATGTGATAATTACCAACACAGCAATATGTGATTTAATCTCTAATTCTGCCATATTCTAACCAGTGATGGAAATTGGATCTGCACAGTAGACACAGCGTATATAACACTCTCTGTATATATAAAGTACATTTGTATCAATAAAAATTTTTTAAATTTATAATACTGATTCTAACACTAACCTTAACTATAATACTGATCATACTTTGTTGTTAAGGTTAGTACTGGTTATTAGCTGTGTTGATAAGGTTGTATCAGTAGTTATCCCCTTAATTATTGGCTAATCTTATATAGATCATCATATGAAAGTGATACCAAAATATGATCATGTAACTATGTATATGTACATATAGTGTACAAATAGAAATCATCTAATTTATATACTATATTTTACAAATATATTCTAATTTTTTAATTTTAATTAATATAATTACAATTATAACTATTTTCTAATTAGTATAACTAAAATATTTAGCTAAACTAGAATATAAATAATTATCTTTATAAGTATAGTCTACTATAATATATATAGATCACTTTTACTAAATGTCTAATCTACTAAAATATATTTTAATTAATAAAATTTTTGTTTATTATATATACAGAAGTTAAATTTTCATTGCTGTTTTTTTTTGTTATATATAATAAAATTCAAATCCAAAATATACTATCTGAGAAATAACAACTTAATTATTTTATTAAGTTATTATATCTTTTAAATTATTTTTAAATAAATATATCTGACCTGTAGATCGATAGCGTAGTGGTTAGCGCTCCTAGGTCACAATTGCAAGGTTGCAAGTTTGAGTTTACTAGATGACAAACAGCTTTGTTAGGACCACGATTGGCTAAGATCTTCAAAAGATTTTCTATTAAAAAATGAAGAACAAGATTCGTACAAATTGCAGTCTGCCAACATAGCCACGAGGCTGGAGACAACCAGATAAAGCATAATTCGTCAACAAACAATACTAAAATTGAGAAAAACCTAGCTTAAAGATTACTAGAATCAAGGATATCAGATATAAAAAGACGATCCGGCTTGTGAATCATGTAAAGTTAAAAAATTGCGGATCTAGAAAACGTAGATTCTACACTATAGCACCAGGAACCTGGGACGTCATATAATATACTTAACGGAGTATAAGTTATCTTACAGTATAGTGATATATAGATAGCCAATTCACCATACCAAAGATCTTTGTAGATACGAAAACTCTGGTCTTTGAGAGATGTGAAAGATCCGAAGATGTCTAAGGACCTTTGAGATATGAAGAAAGATAAAAAAAATAGATATATCTGATATACTGTATTAATAAAACTATAAAATTAATTAATTTTTATAATTTGACTAGGCCAAAATTTAAAAACTTGTAAAAAAATTATATATTTTAATAACTAGGTAATTATTTTAAAAAATTTTTAAAAAAATTTAATAAAATTTTTATATATAAAATTTAAAAAAAATTAGCTAGCCTAGTTTAAAAGATTCATATTATAAAAATCAAGATATTAAATTTGTATAATATAACTTTAAAAAAAACTAAAATTTAATTGTTTAAATTTATATAATATAATAACTAATTAGTATAAACATAAAATAAATTCCAAAACTAGTTATATTTTAAATTTTACCTCAAAACCACAGCATTTTTTTTATATTCCAATAAAAAATCTTTTATAAAATTTTGATATAGATTATATTTTGTCCAACCTTGACCTTTAATTCTAATTAAAAACTTTATTTTTATAAAAAAAAATTATTTTGATTTGTATATTATACCAATATATAGATTAGCATTGGTGCTATAGCTCTACAATAATATTTCCTAATTTTATTAACTGTTTAATTTTTTTATAAATATAAAATAAATTTATTTTTAATTGGTCGATTGTTTATCACGTAACCCATGACAAAAATGTCACGTAACAAGACAACGAACAAATTTTTTATATTACTACAAATCTTCAGGTAATGAAGATACCCCTGCTTCTAAAAGACCCACTGCTTGCATGAGAAGGTTAAGATGAGAACCTGCAATTTGTTCAATGTGACACTCTTCTGATTGTATTGCTTCGTTAACCAAAGTTTCTGCATTATTATTGACTTCTAATGTTTCAACCGGTCTAGAATATAATGATTGCTGATTGTAAGTATTTTCATCATCTGGCACCGTATTAGAAGTCATATATGAATATGTAACATCTTGGTTCATATCAACATTTTGGGCATCTCGTACGGGATCAAACGGCATCCTTGACCTTTGGATTTCAGTCATATGATCCTCATTTTTGTTTTCCAAAGAATTTTCTTCGCCTTTATCAATAATACTATACGTTGAAATTGGATTTATACTCTTACCAAAATTATTGTTTATTGAGTGATTATGCTGATTATCGTCAGCAGTTTCTCGTTCTAATGGTTTATCATTATCGTCTTGTGATATATGGCCCTTCCTATCGATTCCTTGGCTTCTAGAAAAATAATCTATATTTTCATTAACGTTGAAGTGATTCTTATCGTCGCAATTGTTCGCAGAAACTTCTAAGAGATCGTCATCATGATAATCTTGCGTGCGAGCTTTCTTAGAAACTCTTTCGATCTCATTTGCATTATCATTGAGAATATCGTCGATACAGTGCTGTCTTTTTGTCCCTACTGATCCATGAATATGATAATCGGACTCTGCGACATGTATGTTGGTTATATTATATTCCTCTTGCGGTCGTGAAATAACCTCTTTTAACTCTTCTTCCTCTGCTATTTGTTGCTTCTCTTTTAACTCTTCTTCCTCTGCTATTTGTTGCTTCTCTTTTAACTCTTCTTCCTCTGCTATTTGTTGCTTCTCTT